GTAAGCAGACAGTCAGCCACAAGAAACATAATACTATTTTTTCGACGACCGTGGCATGATCAAAGTTTCTTCCGTCTTAAGGTGTCTTCTTTTTTTATTTAACTTGTGATTCTTTATTTATTTATAAAAAGAAAACTGAATATAAAATTCCATTACACATGTATAGACATTTTTCCATAGGTGGCTCACGTGAAACGGTTAACATAAACCATAAACAGTTAACGAGGATACATATAGTACATATGTACATACATACATATATACATACATAGGTATAACTAAGCGTCAAGTTGTTAACATAAGTATATATAAAATAAATGTAGAATATTTACAAATAAAACGCCATTGCATCAAGAAATACAAACATATGTACATTCATACAACAACAAATTCAACTTGCACTACAAACAAACAAAACAATAATCATCTGATCTGTTTTGACTCATTCAATTCAAATTTGGCTTGTCGCTCATTTATTTATGCCACGTAGTAAATATTTGTGATTATTCGCATAATCTCATTTCTGCTTTCGGCGCTAGCTTACACGTCATAGCGCTCATATGTTTGCACTTATGTCATATACATATATATGTACATGCATACATACATATGTATACTCGTAGTAATTTACACAAGTATGTATCGCTCTGGTTTTTTCCTTATTTTAACTATCTTACCTTTTTACGGTGCGTATACGTAACATTTTTTTGTTAGCCAAGTGCAAGAGTGCCAAAAAATCGTACATACATACATTTGTACTTTTACACATTTTTGAAAATGTATTCATAAATATGCACATAATTTCATCAGCCCCTTGAAAACTGGGGCAATGCATAAATACAGTGGCGCTCACGTAAATGGTACACTTTTATTTTCTACAATAATCACAATGTTTTACATGATACATTTCAATATATTTTCAGTTGAGATAGGGCGTTTTTTAACTAAATTCTGAGATAGGGCGTTCTTCAAACAAATTCTGAATTGGGGCGTTCTTGAAAAGTTTTCTGAGATAGGGCGTTTTCGAAACGGCTGCCGAGATAGGTCGATCTTCCACTAAGCCGTCGATGTTTTCTTTATAGGACCTTTTCTTATTAAGACATTAAAAATTTAAATAGTGAAATAATTTCCTTTTTTAAGTTTAAATGAGACAAGGCTATCCCACAGAATAAGCGAGTGGACAAAAAATATATAATGGTAACAATAGCCCATATATGAAAGAATACACTCAGGGGATTGTGTGAAGCATCTTTAGGTTATAGCTGAACATTTTTTAATAATGTTTACTATTTTCAAAAAACTATTATTCGAATTGGGTTCAATCTAAAGAAGAAGTTATGTGTAAAAGTATTCAAAAGTTATTTAAACACGTGTCTGAGTATTAACATGGACGTTAAACAAAATTTTGCATATCAACAAAAGGAAATTTACGTAGAATATACAAATTAGCAGACGCTGTTGGAAAAAAAAGCGAATTTAATCACTGAACTTACTATGACGAACACTCTTGTGAATAATACATTTTAGCGTTACTTAAATTACACAATGGTGATTCGTACGAATATATTTTTTAAATTACAAAATCACTTAAATCGGTGGCTATGGTGTGAATACAATATGTATGTACATAAGAATGTATACAGCCTATAGAAGCACGCATTGAGTTCATGACAAACATTTTTGTCTATTTAACTATAAATTTGCTAAAATATTAACGAACTAGAACATTTGTTCTACATATGTACGTATATGCATCCATATGCAGTACATTTCTATATGCACAAATAATTTGAGATAGTACATAGTATGTACTTACATATAAATAGATAAATGTATGTATGTACACACTATATAGCATTGACAACACTGTGCAACACATTTTTCTAACAAAGAAAAGTATTTTTCTGAATTTGGCTATTGCAGCGCATTTAAAAAAAATTTAATTTCCTTTACTAGATTTTTAGATTGATATTTTTGGCATGTTTCTTTACGAAATAAAAAATAGGCATTATTAAAACTTTTTGCATTTACGGATAAGTCAGTATTAAAAGTATTAAACTATGTATTCGTCACATCAGATTTGTGAAAAAATCTGTACTTATCTCTTTTGAATTTTAACAAAAATTTATAGAATTTGTTGAAACTGGAATTGTTGTTTTTAATAAGTTTACTCATATTCATTGCCTGATGCAATGTAATCTTCCAGTAAATAGTTTTCATCAGGCTCTATTACTTTTTTATCTGCATCTTCATCTGGTTCTTCGTTACGTCTTCGTACTCCAGCAACAAATTTCAGGTTATATTGCGTCAGGAAATTTATTTTCAAACTAGCTTCGAAAGCTGTTGATACCGTTCGGTTTGTGCGTCAGATTGATTTGTATGTTGGTACATAAATTGAACAGTTTGTAGTTTTTACCTGAGGCTTATGGGAAAATTTTCACATTTTAGTTACTATTTTACCAACAAATTTTTCAGGTGGGCTTAGAACCTATTTTGGCGACCAACCTTCCAGGTGCTTCGTGCTTTTGCATATTATGAAGAGTTCGTATGCAAAGAAATTGGTAAAGACGGGCTATAGCTTTTAAAAGAGAGCTAGTTTTTTTTTTTTAACTTAGGTTTTTATCGCCCTAGCTCGGTACTATCGACTTGTGTTCGTCGCGTCCCCGTTAGATTCCATGAACCTAAAATTGTTGCACAGTGTAGTACAAAAATCGCCCTTGACTAACAGTCGTCAGACATTTAAACATTTATTTTATGCACATACATATGTGTATGTAAACAAACAAAAACTTTCTTTATTTATGTTGACGTCATTGGTTGGGACACAATTTTAGAAGCGTTCAGACTAAAATGCAAAATTAATGCAAAAGTTTTAAAGTTCGATACGGCACTCATCTTTATAAGTATTTGTTATCATAATAATGAATATTTGTGCTCAAAATACCAACGGTATTCACACGCAGGTAACCCACTACTCGGTAGCATTTATTTATTTTTGTATCATTTCATTTTATCGGTTTACCCGCTCATCATCAGATCAGATATTTGAGATTTTGCAAAAAACTGGAGCTGATGGAAACTTACACTAACGTAGTCGTAATCAGCACTAAAAAGTCTATCAAAAACCGCTCAACATTTGCCGCAACAATTTTTCCCCCATTTTTATTGGCCTGAGTTATATATAAAAAAAAAATGAAATTCCTTGAACATTAGAAAGCAGTTTCGGCAGTCAACTAGTCTCATTTTATTATTCTTCTTTTTTATAAACGGTTATAATGCCACCGGTGCATAATTGCAAAAGAAGAGGAGGGACGGGGTTGCGAGCGCGACGACGACCGCGGCGCAAGGTGGCGCCCGCATTTTCAAAATTATATGTACACTTAAATACATATGTATGTATTCACATATTAATTTTTTCTTTACAAACATATCCGTCCGTTTAACCTGTTGATGTACCAATTTTTCGTTTAGACTTCGAATTTAGTAGCCTTCATTTTTCAACAGTGAAGTAGTGGTATTTTAATTAATAAAGCCTTTTCACTTTTAATTGAGAAATAACACAAATTTGCCTTATTGCCGTTTGCCTTATAGCACCCTCCCTGTGGCACAAGCTATTGGCTTAAAAGACACAAAACGCCGTTGAGAGCAGTCAACGAAAGTTGAATAAGAAGTTTTAAAGAAAAAACTTTAGCGTTTTGGTTTTGATTTCGAGAAGATTAAAAAGTTTTCAAATTTCTTTACAACATTCAAGGCCCTCAAATAGTTTTTATTTATTAATCACTTAACACGAAATAAAGCAGGTGACAATGACCTTGTAGCGAACGGGCCGCATGCGCGAACTAGTATCATAGGTATCTAATGCAATTGTTCACTGGAATTAATTTCCGAAATTTTGCAACTTATAATGATCCCAACGCCCGGTTAAGATCTTACACAGCATTCTTCATACAGGCCCATACGCCTCCTACCTCTTAGATAAAGTACAGGAATTCATTGGATGAAACGACGGAAATATTAAACAAATAAATCATATCAAATATTAAGTGAGAAATGTATTCGAAAATAAAAAATATGCTCTGCAATTTTCCTCGAAGAGGCGCAAGCTTTCGATGGTATAGTATAAGTGTAGATATTTTACCTAAAAGTTGCGAGATATAAATACCCAGTAGATAATTTCAGGAGTTAAAAGCCCTTCCGAAAGGCCTTCCCGAGAATCGAGAGGCCTTCCACTCTACAATCCTTTCTCCTTTCTTTTTTGTATGGAGTGGCACAAATTGAAGGGCTTCCACTTTCGCTACCCATAGAAGGCCTTCCAGAAGGGCTTTTATGGGACGTACTTCAGAAGGCCTTTTGGAGGAGTTCTTTAAAGTTGCTTCTTTAATTTATAAAAATCATACATCTTTGAAGTATTTGCTTAAGGTTTATATCAAATATGTGTTATTGTAACTTAAATTTTTATTGGAATTCACTCGTAATATTAAATAATATAAATTTATGCAGTCGCGTAAATTGTAAATGGATAAGCCCTTCTAGAAGGCATGCAAGGAAGTACTTTTTCAGCCCTTCTTGGATAGGCCTCTTAGGATGGCCTCACTTAAGAAGGCCTACCTAAATTATCTTCTGTGTACTTAATAATATTTTTCTTCAATTAATTTTTAAATGGAAAATCCGGGGATGCTTATTTATTGTCGGAACATTCGAATATCTATAAAAAATTAATCATTCTTCAAGTCGATGTAGAAATCTTGAAGAATATTTCGCTTTTAAAGAATTTGGGTCATTTAATGGTATTTTTGAACTCCGCAACTGTAAACAAAAAAAAACTCTTCTGGGAAGACGACTAACACATTTGTTTGATTCACCTCCAAAGCAATGTCGTTAAAATTGTCTGCAATTATAACAAACAGCCTTGTGTACATATTTATCAAATAAAGCTTTAATAACAACGGCTGTTATCTATCTTTAAATTTCCGTTTAGCAACAAAGTAATGTTTATGCGCTTTTATTTAATGCAGCATTTTTTATTTCCAACAAGAAATTAACTTTAAAGTAAATTTTTCTGCCTAAAAATATCATCCAATTTTTGCTCCAACTCAGCATTCGTGCCACGCATATTATCCACTACTTTCTTGGCCCAAACATAATATTGCTCTTGGCGCTCCACCGACCAACCGATAGGCGGCTTCTTGCCCAAATCTCTCAAATTATCCAATTTATCTGCAAGCTTCACCAATTTCGCCTTGCTGCTTGACGTTGCCGCATGTTCGATTTGCAAACGCTTGCGTTCCTGTTTCTCCAATGACTTATCATCGGTGACCTCTCGCACAATGCTACAAATGCCGGCACCAAATTGTGTCTCAATTTCCTCAAATGTGGTATCGGTATCCTCCACCGTATCGTGTAAAAGTGCTGCAATGAGTACAGTTTCATCGGAAATGCCACCTTCTACGGCCAGTATGGTAGCCACATTGATGGGATGATTGATGTAGGGAGTCTCATTATCCTTGCGACGTTGCATGCGGTGTTTACTGGCGGCGAATTGCAAACCTTGCATTAATTTTGCGGTGGGTTGTATCACTTCCATGTTGAAGAAAATTCAAATCAGCCTGGTGAGAGTGCACACAATACTTGTTTCAATATATGTAGGTATTATTGTAGAAAAAATAACACTAGTCAATACAATTAAATTGGACATTATCGCGTCATAAAAAATCGCAAAAATATATATTCAACAATTCAAGGAAAAGTAGGTAAAAACACCCATAAAACCTCAGCAGTTAGGACAAACACTATAATACTCAGGTGTCTTATCGCTGTGCGTCATGAAATTCTAGCTTTCAAATATGCAGACATACCTACATACATACTACGTAATATATGGTTAGTTGAATAATAAATAAGAGTTATAAAATGCATTTCAATGCCAATCATCTTTTTGTTATACATATGTTACCGATATCAGCTGAAAGCACCCACCTCCTACTTATTTGCGTGCATGTAATTGGATGAATAGATATGAATGGATGGCTCGGGCTATGCTTAAAATAGTTCTAATCAAGCCAAATTGAATGGGAAATTGAATTTGTTAAACTGACAGTTCAGTGTGATAAACAGAATACAACATAAAGACAACACACAAAGTAAGAAGCACCGAGGCACTATGTACATACGTCTGAAAACATATTTTTTATGGGCGAGAGGAGAATGAGAGTTTACCGCGGTGATAAAAAGCCATAAATCGTCGAACGGTCAATTTTTGTACTGAAAATCGTCTGTTAACTGCCAGTTGCGGTTTGACTTTTCACTCTGAAAACAATTCTAAATAAAATTTTTTATAAACTACATAAAATGAAATTTCTTCAAAATAAGGTAGAATGTCATTAAGAATTTAAAAAGTTCGACTAAAAAATTATCCCTCTATAAAATAATTACGTTTAAAGTCGATCTTTGCATTTTTTTCAGTCATAAAAAAAGTCTCCACCGTTACGTGAACTTAGACGTGGCTCTAAGCCTTCCATTCATAGAGTGAACAAAGCCCCGGGTAATATCTTGGGGTATATTCTCCCATATATCCTAAAGGTCACTTTTAAGATCACTCTTGCTCTAAATTTGACGCTCGCGTAATTTGGATTCCATGTAAACCGACTACTACATAGTGTCAAAATATAAAAAAAACAAGAAAATTCGGAAAGACCAGAAGAAAGTGGAATACCAAAATGTCTGTAAATGTTTGCCAATTGTTTAAAAAGTTGAACTCAAAAGTTGAACTCAAATATTTGAATGCATGAACACAACCTTTTTTAGCCGACTTTAAAAAAAAAAGGAGGTTATAAATTCGTCGGAATATTTTTTTTTATGTATGAAACCGCATAACTTTGGACCACGTAAACCGATGGCTATAATATTTTTGAAAAGAAAAGGTGGTCCCATACTAATTTTGTTTCAGATCCGATCATTGGATCATGAAGATATTAACAGTTCTCTTAAATTTGTACATGTGAATTGAAGTCGGTTTGGTTTTTTGCTTAAAAAATACTTGTTTATATGGAAGAAGGTACACAACACCCTCAGCGAAGAAAATTCTCAAAAAATCACGGTAACTTTAAGCGACTTGAAACTTGCACTTTTTATACTAAAAAGGGCTATAAAACTGCAAACTAAAATTTTTTTAGATATGTAAGTGTCTGGCCGAGCTTCTCCTCCGATTTGTGGCGTTCGCCTTGACGTTGTCACACAAAGCGGAGGGACCTACAGTTTTACGCCGACTCTGAACGGCGATTGTATTTTTATGAGAAGTTGTTTTTTATGGCAGAAATACACTTGGAGGTTTGCCATCGCCTGCCGAGGGGCGACAGCTATTAGAAAAAACATTTCTGTTTTCTTTTAATTTCTTCTTGTCTGTAACTGGGCTTGAACCAAGGCCCTACGAAATGGTAGCGCCAATTGGAAAATTTTAAATTTAGATGAAAGATTCTTGCAGTTTACCGAGTTCTGTATGATGTAAAAAAATTATTCTTGTGGTTTTTGCTGTTGAATGAACTATATTTTTATACAAAAATAAGAACATTTTTTTATGGAAAATAAAAAAAAATAAAATCCTTAAAACGTCAGAGGATACTTATTTTTGGCGCTCACTGTATATAATACGCGAAGGCATTTTTTGTGAAGGTCATCAGATCTGCACCGTTTCTTCGAATTTCAAAAATGAGATGTCAAATTAAAAAGCTTGGCCCTAAATGTGAAATAACGTTTTATTTTTTGAAGTTAGAACTTTTTATCGGTACACGGTGATTTAGAATTAAAGAGCCATGCGACACTCTTCTTCAAACGCTTATAACTCATTTCAGTTGCGCGTGGGATCCACAAACATTTTTTTCTATACGGAAGCTCTTGATCTTACAGCAGACATTGCATATGAAAGTCTATATGTATATAGGAAATAGATATGTAATAACATTGAGAGCATCTATAGTTCTTACCGAAACTTGCGGCCCTCTGAGCTCTTCTTAGTGTTATATGATTACATTAGGGGCTGATTAGTTCAAGCAACAACTTTTGACAACTTTCGTTGGTCAATTTGGCCACTACTTATACTCCCGCCCGGTTGAGTTTGAGTAGTTCTGAGTTGATAGCGGTAAACCATCAAAGTGGCGAAATCACTGCACTCTCGCGGCGTGCTCCTACGAATGTTTCTTATTAATATATGCAGCTTCAAATGCAGCATACCAACGATAGAATTAAATTTAGTTGAGGCCCTAAAATAGGAGCTCCTCTATGTAATAAATTACTTCTGCAAAGAGGATATATAACTTTAATCGCCGCAGAAAATGGGTTTTAGCACATTTATAATCTTTTATTTACATATATAAAAGCTTCCCTGTTTTTGATTAGCAAAAATTACAACAATAGCAAATCAAAAATGTGATTAATACTCGTATTTAAAAATAAAATTAAAACTATTATAAAGCACAAATACAATAAACAACATTGTGCTAAAATTTCGAGATTTTCCCAATGATAAGGCAAAATAATGGGAAAATATACAGTGTCTCAAACATATGGCCACGTGTTGATTTTCTTCAAATATTCGTAATGTTTGTCGAGCTAAATTTATTTTGTTATTTTTATATAAAAATATCGTCTAAGCTTTAACCAAAAGTGTGTAAATCACAGTTTCAAACTTTATACAAAATTTTGGAAAATTTAACAAATTTTCATAAAATTTCAACTTTTTATTCTGAATTTTTAGAAAATTCTCAAAAATCAACGCGATTTTTTAGCCGTTTCAAACTTGCACTTATTAGACTATGGGCTATAAAACTGCACACCCAAAAATTTTCTAAAAATTCGGAATAAATAGTTGAAATTTCCTGAAATGCTGAATTTTCCTAAATTTTGTATAAAGTTTGAAACCAAATTTGGTAGACACATTGCGCTTAGGCTTCTTAAGCGCCATAGTGAAAAGTTTTGAAATCGGACAAAAACCACGGGCTCCACCAACGTAACGGAAATTTAAAAAAACTCAAAGCCAACTATATTTTAGTAGGAGTAGGTTTTGTCTGATTTCAAAAATATTCGAGACGGTACATAAGGAGGCTAAGCACAATGTGTATACCAAATTTGGTCGAGATCGGGCAAGTAATTTTTGAGATACGCATATATCATATAAGTGGGCGGTGCCACCCCTATTTTCCTAAAAATTCCTGAAAAACCACTTCTTTGCTAAAGAGCGATTGTATATATAAATTTTTAATACATATTGATAAACTCTTTAGCCACACTGCTCAAAAACTATGAATGTCCGGTACATATACACATATAATATATCGGCCGTATTTAAGAAAAGTCGCCTAAATTCGACAATTTGTATGCGATTGCAAAAACTGAAGTATCAGTTTATTTGAAAATAGATTTAATTTTAGATATTTAGAAATTGTAGAAATTATCGATGGCCAAAATTTAAAACATTAAGAGAAATATGGGTGTTTTTTTTTATTTACCCGATAAAAAATCCCCACAAGCCTAGTCCGGCAATAGATTGTTATATACCATTTTAAAGGCCTATATATCCTCTTTTCAGATCATAAATCTACAAAATCGTATTTTCTGACCTAAATCGACAGGTCACGACCTCTAAAATGTCCTTAAAAAAATCTATAAAAGTAAGCAATAATATTTCTCATAAAAATTCATAAAATTAGGGGGTAGGGTCTTGAAATTAAAAAAAAAAAAACATTTTCGATAGGCACCCTAGTGCATGCATACATTTATATACTGAAGATTATCAATTGAATCAGACTAATGTAAAGCAAAAACATATTGTGAACAAGTGTTGATTAAATAAAAGCCATTAATGAACAAGTATGTCGAAACAAGCAAAGAGCGGATGATCGCGATAAGGTACGAAGTAAAAGCTGTCACGCCACGTACCCGGACAACACTAAAACGGCGAAGAAGAAACTAAGCGATGACGATACTTATTTGACTGAAGAAGTTTTACTCTCGTAAATCAACAACCATACGAGATTTTACGGAGAATCTAAGTGTATATCGTAACTAGACACGAATAAAGACGCGAACTCAAAAGTTGACCTCGCAAAAAATGTTCACGCGTCTTTCTTCGCCAAAGTTTTTCTTAAGCGTATTTTTTTGTCAAATTTTTTACGCGTCTTTTTTCGCCGTCAAAACACTAGTGCGCCTTTATACGTGTCTAGTGACGATATTTACTTAATTTATTTAATATGGACATTTATACATACATATACATACATACAAACATACATATGTGCATACCAATACTTTTATTCATTCATAATCACAAGCATAAGTAGGACTCCTACAAGTAGTACGTAAATAATTTCGGCCTTTTTCAGCCAACTTGGCTAAAACCGTGCCATTTTTGGCCCTTTTCACTTCAAATGGAACTTAAATTTTCAATTTGACACAGGGTGTCAAAATTACTCTTTTGAAAAATAGTATTATAACAAGGCGCATTCATATAAGGTGGTGTTGCTAGAACAGCTGCTTTAATTCGCGTCGGTACACATATCTCAAAACTGCTTATGAGTGAGCGCGAAGTAAGAGCGTTGTAATTTTCTTTCCCTCT